AATTACTTCCTGTCCCTCACAGGAAACTCCTATCAAACATTAAGTTTGGTAGGATGTCGACTACTATGCCTATTAAGTTCTTTTTTTTTTTTCTCCTATCAACTGAACAGGAAAAAAGAGTAAGAGTTCACTGAGCTGAGCTTAAATTTACAGGAAATGTAACCAGACAACTGACATTTGACTTCATCTTCACTGCCGAAATTTTAGCTCTTTAGGATGAAAATTCGATCAAGAGCACTTGGTTGTCTTGTGAGGTTAAACACACCAGCAAAACTGTGACAAATTAAAGTAAACTGTACACTGGAGATTAATCATTTAAGTTATTGAACACAAATGTCTTCACCCTTTAGACTGTGACAAAAAAGATATACGCTCTGCATACAAGCTGCCCTGTAAGCCAAATAGGGCCAAACACTGTGAGTCAGAGTGTGGGAAGTCATGAGTGTGTCACCAAGAATGTCAACATATTTTTCTGAAGAGGAGGATGTGACCACTCAGAGAGAGTACAGTGAACAGAGCGGGGCTCGGGGTCATTATTCCTGCCTGTTCAACTCCACAAGGGAAAAAACTTATTTCACTTTTTATTAAGCCCTCATATTCTATTGAAGACATTCTTTTACTGTTACAGTTCAGACTCATACAGACTTATCTATTCAAAATTAGTAAAAGTTATTCCACCAAATTTGGTAATTCGAGTGCCATTTTTAACATTACACAAAAGCAATTACTTCATTGTCAAGAAAACTCTGCAGGTCTCTCAAAAATGTTCTCTATTTAGCAACCAACCACTATTTTAAAGTATTATATTCAGTAGCCAGTTCTACAGTTTACATGACAGCAGAGCTTTTCTGTGGACAGGGATGCTCTATACATTTTATTTCTGGGATATGATGATGAAAACCAAATGGCACCCAAACCATCTTTGATCTGGCGATGTCAACCATCATCTGTGCTTATGCATTCCTATATAGTAAATGATTGTCAGACGTACAAAGCACACACACTGACTGAGTGCTGTTTATTTAGAGAGTATATTAGTGTGGGCTTTTCTCTGTCTACGTATTCAAGCCTGTGAGTCTATTTGCTTTTGTGTCTTTCATGTGGGCGTGTATTTGCCTGCGTGCGTGTTTTGCCCATTCCCTGACCACATGTCCTCGACAGTCCCTGACATCTGGTGACCATACCTCTGCTTACGCTCTCTGACTGTACTTCGCCAACCATGGGAACCATGCCGCTGTGTAGGCTGCTCCTGTATGTGTGTGTCTGTGTGTGCGACAGAGGGAGAGAAATGACTTCAGACTTGGTGTATATCTTTTCACAGCCTGTGTGCAGTTTAATAATATGTTCTGATAGTCTGCTATAGTCATATAGCAGTTTTGCACCTTTCTTTTCAGGGGTTTCTTGTTTTTCTTTGTTTCTGAAAAGAGCAGGTCCAAATGTAGCTTTTATGTGCTCCATCTTGGGTCCATTTGGTAATTTCCTGGCACCAAATGAACATGTTCGCACCACAGTTGGAAAAGAGGCACACCTGAGGTTGTGGGTTTGCTGAATAGTCAGTGCAGGGTAATTTTGGTGCACACTTTGGCACAAAATTGCATTTGCTCCTGCTCAAACTACTTCTTATCCTATCACAAACACAGACGCCGGGTTTTAATAGCTTTAGTTGGCAGGCACATACACAGAGACATCCAGACTCACTCAAGTGTGGTCTACTTTCCATTTCTTAGACATTATTTTCATCTGCTAAATATTACCAAGGAAAATTTGTTATATAATACCACTGAGTTCAGTTGAATGTTGCTATAAATGTTGTGATAAGTGAGCATCCTTCAGATGCGCTCTCCTCCCAAAAACAATCCCACATGTCATTAGTTCAAGCTGTTATTATAGCCTCTAATTATGTTTTATAGCATAAATTAACCCGTGAATAATTGCATTTAAAATTTGCACCAGTATGAGCAACCAAGTAATTGAGCTAACTCTCATTTTGCAAAATTACATATTGTTGCACAAAGTATGAACTTTTCCTAATTCTAACCAGTGTGGTTGACTACACCAAAAAGCAAATGAAAATAAAAAGTCAAAGGTTTGTGTGCTTATAACTAGAGCAGACTTCTTCTTCTTTCTTTTTTTCTTTTTTTTGGGCACACTCTGAAAACATTCCTTGATAACATCTCAAAAACAGATGTCTGATAAATTATGTAGAAGACTTGGTGATACCCCTTCAAGGATCAAGGTGGTTTGTGCGCTTTAGTCTACCCATGAGTGTAGCTTTGTTGTCAGAGGCAACTGGCACCTGGTAGGGTCTCACAAGGCAAGGGACTTCTAGGGAAAAATGGATACAAGGGTCAAATCTCTTAGCTGACTCAGGACGCCAGGTCTTCATTCACGGGGCTCAGCCCAAATGAGACACATATGACTGGATTGGATAGGCCACTAAAGGGACTTTGGTGTTTGTTAAAGTGCTTATAAGGCCTGGAAGGTAATCTTGCTGTTGGGGAATGTTTTCTGGCTGTCATTTGCACTGACAGAGTCCAGAAGACTGAATCTTCTTTGAGTCTCTGGTGGTGTGCTTTACGGTGGCCCTCTCGGGAACAGCATGCCTGGTCACAGTGGAGTTTTGTTACTAGATTTCTGTGCTGATTACAGTAACAAACACCATGTTCAAGTGTAAAGGTGTTCATAAGTACACCTGGCAGCATGCTGGAGATCCATGATCGATGATTAGAAACTTTATCAGATCTGCAAAAAGGCCAGTCAGCTGTCAGCTGGTCAATACCTGTTGGTGAGTCGGATCAGGTAGCAGGGAGGCCTCTGCGCTTAAACTTTATGTTTAGGCAGCCCTCAGTAACACGTTGTGCGCAAACAAAGAGGTGCATGTAGAATCTGCCAGTAACAGTTTTATATTACTCCCTGGCATGATTTACCAGGACAATTTTATTTGAGTATTTCTGTTTGGAAAATTTGTGTTTGTGCCCAAAGTGTTTGTGTGCCCTGTACAGGAAAAATAAAGCCCGGGATCTCATTTCCACCCACATTAGAAACTCTTAGGCAGAGAAAATGCTGGAGAGGTGCTGATTTTGATGCAGAGCAGTCACAGGGTCTTTAAAGTAACAGAATTGTATTTTTTTTACATGCTGAAACATCACAAGCAACAGCAACAAGTCCCCCAACCTTTTCATTTACCTATCTTGTTTCTATATTGACTCTTTTATTTCTGTTTTCACCTGTTTCCTGATAACATCTATTCAATTCTCCTCTGCTCTATTTTTATTCCATTGTATTCAGCTCCGTATTCCCTTCTCCTCTTTTTTCTATTCTGCATCAGTCTTCACTTACTTTGTCTGAGAAATGGTCCAAGGTTCATTCATATTTGGGGGGTTTCCCCTTATGGCTATATTTAGTCAACAGGAAACGTCCCAGAAATCCTCAGTCTACTCCCACAGAGTAGTGAGTGGGAGAGATGAAGCCACATACACATCCACATTGTCTCATGCTCGTCATCCCGAAGCAGGCTTATACTGGGACCTGCTTTGTTTGTACATTTCCATGCATTTATGTGCATGCTTTAATCGTTCTAGTTTTTTGTGTGTATTTTCTTTGTTTTCAGCTTAAAACCTTCCACTCACCATGCACCCACCTCCTCTCCCACCCATTATTTATCCTTTATCTCCACATAAAGGAATGTTCTTCCCACCCCAAGTTCAATGACAGTGCCACGTGGAGTAATCAAGGCCAAATCTCTGCTCTTTATATGGCTTGTGAGCACTAACCCTTCTCAAACCTCAATAAGCTTTCACCTCCAACCTCTCTAATACTTTCCTTCCTTCCTGTGTATGCCCCTTGGACCATATTTCTACCCATGTCTTCATAAGGAGACATTTAATTGCACATATGTACAGTATGCGGACAGCGTACAGTGTAGTCGAATTTTTTTTTCAGAAAAAACAATTACTATGAATAAAATCTGGCTTTACTGGAGCATCCGTGACAGAACTCGACCAGTAAACTCTACCACACCTTATCATTATTAAACTGAGATCGACAGTGTATCGCGTTTCAGTCTCTGCACACTTCTAAACTGAATTTGTTTAAACCTTAATCTCTCCATTAAACTTGTCCCAAAGGGATCTTTGTCTTGCAGATTGAAATGCACCATTAAAATGTAAACACATTCAATCAATAAAACAATTGTATTCTTATGCCTAGGCGCTGCTGAAAGCTGTCTCTGAAGGCATTATGTTTTCCAGTTGTTCATCCATTTATCCCTCAGATCTCACATCTCACAAGACTACTTATGGGAATTTTGGAAACTTGGCACGAACATTGCCTCAAAGTCCAAGATGAATTTTGAATTTTGTGGCCAAAAGGTCAAAATTTCACAATAGATGTTTTAGGACATAAGTCAAAAATTCAGACACAATCCATCCATCTTCTTGATCAGTTATCCAATTCAGCGTCATGAGGGGGATGGAGTTTATCTCAGCCGTTATAGGGTTTAAGGACAGGTTGCCAGTCTATCACAGGACTAACACATAGAGGCAGACAATTAAATGTATAGATTTCTGTAAAATGTATAAAAGAACAGTATCAGAAATGAGTATATCAGAGGGACAGCTCAGGTTGAGTTTGGAGGCAAAGTTAGAGAGGTAAGGCAGAGATGGTTTGGACATGTGGCAAGGAGAGAGAATGGATATAATGGACAAAGGATTTTGAATATGGAGTTGCCGGGCAGGAGTAAAAGAGGAAGACCACAAAAGAAGTTGTAGTGAATGAGGACAAGCAGAGGGTTGGTGTGGCATAGGAAGAGGTTAGAGATAGGAGATGGAGGAAGATGATCTACTCTGGAAAAGCAGCTAAAAGAGGAAGTCAAGCATCAGCTCTACTGTGACATCATTACTTTTATTCTTTTCAGGCAATATTAAATGCTACAAACTCAAGACTCAACTTTACAACAGTAACACTTTGATTTTTAACTCTTACATTTCTTTGTCTCACAGGAGAAACGGAAGCGGCAAACTGAAATTGATGATAAAAGAAGCCAGCTTGATGACCTGCTGCTGCAGCTCCAACATGTCAAGGTATGTTGTGTATTTATGATACATATGTTGGGTACATATGATACATATGTATAAGTATTATTTACAGTTCAAGTAACGATTATGCCCTGTTGTTTTTATATTAGAGCAATAAAACGTCATCGCCTGTCTATGTGCACATGTGCAAAGAAATATCACCCTGGACATGCTCAGTAGCTGTTTATCCATCTTTGCATAATTCAGTTATAACACTTATGGTACCACTGTAAGGGCTAAGTTTGAAAATTATATATTTATTAACATTTTTAAAGACAACAGACAGAGAAATACCAACATTCACTCAGTCCTGGATTGTGATGTACTTACAGACTTTTCTGCTTACTCGTGTTACACAGAGCTATTCATTACTTGAATGCACTGCATACAGCTGAGCTAAAACAGTGTGAGCATGTGAGAGATACATTTTTGACTAAGGTACTGGTTGATTAAAATTAGGTCAGCGTAAAGGTGAAGGGAAGGTGAAGAGTGCAGATTAGGGTTAGTAGTTCACAGGGGAAAGACGTGAGTCATGATGCTCTTATGAGTTATTGCTCTATCCTCTTTCTTCATCTAGACATAACCTCAACCCTTGAGAGATAGATCGATTTGACAGCTTCCTTAACTGTTTTGTCTCATTTCAGCATGCTGCTTTTCTGCATGCAAGTGTGTTTAATTACTCATGAGCATGTGCGAGTGTGTTTGTCAGTTTTTGGCTGAGATGTTAGTGATTCCACCTCAGTATCTCCTGGTGTGCAGGCCTATTAGAACAAGAGTTTCCCTTGGCTAAGCAGGCCCTGGCATGGCTGTTTTCTTCTTTACAGAAAAACACTCAAATCCAAACACACAAATATATCCCCTCATAGTTAATGCCAGCCACTACCGGTAAGCCAAGATTTTTGTTTCAAGTAAACACAGATTTGATGTCCAAATGAAACGTAGGACAGAGGACACAAGCTGCTGACACATGATGAGTTTATAAAATGAGCAGCTTCCAGGCATCTCTAATTTATGCGGACTTCTTCTTTCAGCTACTAAAGAATTATTTGACCTTGTACACAAAACTCACCCAACCAAACCACTGTCAGGTGGAGACACAACAGACTGAGGCATCCCATAATTTTCGAGCTTTGACACACAATGTGACGCTGTTTAAACTATATGTCACTGGACTTTTATTTAAGTGTCGTCACTGTGTTTATAAAATGTGTGCATGAGCAACACAAGTCAAATATGGTGCTGCTCTGGTGATGTATAATTGGTTTAACTTCAAAAGACAATATTAGGAAAATCCCACAGCCGTAGCTGCTGCAGAGTTGCAGGGTGGTTAAGAGAATAGCTGCGGGTACTCATTAAACTACATAAATATCTATGGGAACCAGTTTTAATATTTGCAATAAAAATGCATTCCATTTGCTAACTAGAGCCATTAAACACACTTGGCATGAATGAATCCTTTATCAAATAAGTCTGATTCCACATACTAGTGTTTTCCACCATTTAACACCCAGTTATGGGAACATGGGCAAAACAAAAACATTGATTCAAGACATGTGCACTTTCATTAAAGCATGCAGTGCAGTTCAGCCACTAATTGGGGTTTACAGTAACTCGTATATTTGGTTTTGAGCCCTCTGAAGAGTCGAGTTTTCCAGTTAGGGCTCATCTGCAAAAGGGTGTTTATCATTCTAAGCATATGCATATTTTAAACGTAACATTTTTGAGTGTGTGTGTGTTTGCTTTGAAAGTGCTGATGAATCAGTGCTTCTTTCTAATGTCTGTTTTCTTATTTGACCCGATCTGGGTTATTCTTCACTGAAAGTAATAATCATAACAAATTACACATGACACAAAGTGCTGACATTTCAGACTACTGCGATGACTGCTATTTAGACTAATAGCCACTGTTGTTTTATCAGTGCTGCACTGATGTGCTACAGTGCTACACTTACCAACTTTTCAGTGGCACTTCAGCTAAGTTTGAATTAGTCTTCTTGCAAATGACAAAACTTAACTTTGAAAACATCCATGTTGATGCCACCTACTGGTTTCTGCACTTCTGCTTTGAAGCCTCAGATTCTGGCATCCATCCTTGTTTTGTGAACTCTGAAAATTAAGGAAAGAAATCCCTGTTCAGCTGCGATGAAAGCTTGGTTTACATTTCTAACAGTCAAACTTAATCACGGATGGAGTTGGACTCCACCAAAGGGTCTTTTGTCCCTAATTCTGCTTATAATTTGTATGGACAGAATTTCTAGGCACAGCTAAGTGTTGAAGGGTGTTCTCAGATGGTCTCGGGAGCTCGACTCTGCTTTTTGCTGATGATGTGATTTTGTTGGCGTTATCGAGCAATGACCTCCAGCTTATATTGGAGTACGGTAGTTTGCAGCCAAGAGTCGAGCTACTTGGATTAAAGTTGGTACCAAGTCTGAAGTTCTCAGCCAAGAAAAGGTAAAGTGGCCACTCAAGTTTCCATCCAAAGTGGCGGCATTTAAGTGTCTTAAACGTGTTTACAGGTGAGTGGTCAGTGTAGTGGGACACTGACAGGGTGATTGATGTGGCATCTGCAGTGATGTAGACAAGTTTGTTAAGGTGAAAAGAGAGCTGAGCAGGAAAGTGAAGTTGTAAATTCCTTGGTCAATCTATTTTTCCACCATTCCCAATCTTCATGACCTGTGGGTATCGACTATAGAAATTAGATTTTGGTTACAGGCAGCAGAAATGAGCTTCCTCCAAAGGACACCTGGGCTCTCCCTTAGAGATTAGGGGAGAAGCTCCTTCATCTGAGGTGGTTCAGGCATCTGTCCCTTCAGTGCCACCTAGGTGAAGTGTCTCGTCTGGCTTGGAAACACCTTGGCCTCCTCTGCTGCCCCTAATAAGCAATTGATAATGCATGGATGGATGGCCATTGCCATGTTATGCAAAATGCTATATTATTCGTTTAACAAGAACAGATGTGGTGCATAAATCGGTTAATTCGTGTCATTGTAAATGCTCCAAAAGACACTAATACAATAAGCATAACTTCAAGTCAATGGCTTGATTGTGCATTTTACCTTACAAGTCTTATGGATGAACTCACATTTGGAGCCAGCCTTAAAGGGTTGTGATAAGTTTGGATTCATTCAAAAGTCATTACAACTCTACTATCCTTCTCATGCTCCCTAAAGATACATGAAAAACCAAGAGAGGTCAGAATGGATCTTAATCTGAATATGTTTGCTCTATCTGCAGAATCCAGCCTGATTAATGATCTGTGTACTTTTCTTTCATACAACACCAGTAGGCCTGAACTCCAGATGTAATCAGCATCTGGTCACACAGTTCCATTTAATGGCCATTACCTCTAAGTGCCACGCTGCCAGGCAGCATGAAGCAGGCTTTGTTGAGCGCTCTCTGGAGACCCAGTGGCTTGGGAGAGGAAACGGGAACTAGAGCCCAGAGATTTGATAAGGACCTCTGGGCTGCATGATTCAAGCTTCTCAATGGAGGCGATGATGTGAGTCTGGAACTTTGTAAACATCGGCATGACTTCAGAGCAAAGTTTAACCTTGGCCATGAATTCTCTTTTTGAAGCAGTGTCTCCATCTGGGCGTTACATATTTTGATAAATTGGTTATTTCACTTTCTGATGACAAGCACAGACATTCATAACAGCCTGAAACCCTCCCTTTAATAGCCGAGTTCAGAGTGGTTGTGTGTCACAGCTCAACAGGAAATGGAAAGTCTGTTAAACAGCATGAGAGAGAAGCAAAGAGCCGTCTGGTTCTCAGGGGAAACAAGTTATTCACCAATGCTTTTTGATAGCTGAAATGCTACGGAAAGCTGTTATATATATATTATGGTATTGATAAAACTCCACAGTGTTGGTAAGAGGTCAGGCACAAATATAACCAACAATGCATCTCTGAATAAGTGATGGCTTCTAAATCATATAGAGAATACCGCTGTGATCTCGATGTGGAATGTGGAATTTGCTTAATGAACTTGAAACTAGCTGTTTACTTTAGAAGTTCACTAATGTTTGTGATGGAAAACTGCAGTGCAAGAAAATCAAACATGGATGGGAAAATTTAGCAGAACATAGTTTTTAAATTGTTCGGTTTAACTGATAACCAGGTTGTGCAACTGCCTTTCAAAATATTTCTGTCATACACTCACCAGACACAGTGCAACTTGCTAGCACCTCATGAACCACTTTTTCCCCTTCAGAACTCTTTATTGCACACATTTAACAAGGTGCTGGAAACACTGAGATTGAGATCTGGTGACTGTGGAGGCTATTTGAGTACAGTGAACTCATTGTCATGTTCAAGAAACCTGTTTTAGATGATTTGAGCTTTGCAGCATGCTATACACTGTTGTCATAAAGGGATGGATGAAGTCAGCAGCAACACTCAGGTATGCTATGGTGTTTAAAAGATGCTCAGTTGGTACTAAAGTTACATTTAGTTCAATTGAATTGTTTTATATGGCGCAAAATAACAACAAAGGCTGATTCAAGGCGCTTAGAGCCAAAAGTGTGCTAATAAAAACACCTCCACACAGCAGCCTGAATTGTTGATACAAGGCAGGATGGATCCATGATTTCATGACCTCACCACCTGCATGATGCAGCCAAGATCATGAGACCAGGCAACATTTTTCCAATCGTCTGTTGTTCAATTTTAGTGAGCCCATGAAATTGTAGCCTGTTCTGAGCTGAAAGACGGTGCACACGGTACAGCCTTCTGCTGTCTATCCCCTTCAAAATTCTGCATGTTGTGCTTTCAGAGATGCTCTGCATCAACCCGTTGCCTGCATATACAATTTGGCCGTTATCATTTGACATTTGCCATCGACGAGGCTTTTTTTCTTTATTGGACCATGTTCTATAAACCCAGAGATCTTTGTGTGGGAAAATTCCAACAGATCAGCACTTTCTGAAATACTCAGGCCAGCCTGTATGGCTCCAACAAACATGTCACTTTCAAAGTCACTTAAATCACCTTTTCCCCATTCTGATGCTCAGTTTGAAATGCTGCAGATCATTGTGACCATGATTATACATGCTTACATGCACTGACTTGCCACCAAGTGAGTTTCTAAATATTTAATTAGGTGTGTGTGTGTGTGTGTGTGTGTGTGTGTGTGTGTGTGTGTGTGTGTGTGT